GGGTAATTATGTTAAAATATAGTTGGATTCTTCTAATTATTTGCATAATAAATTAATGTCATCAAGAATTTTTAATAGCTTTCTTTAAGAGTTCCTTAAAATCCTCTTTCTATGACACATATGATTTTTCATCTAGTGTTTCCTCTATTAATATATAGAGGATAAGATTTTTCATCTAGTGTTTCCTCTATTAATATATAGAAAATATTCTAAAAGAGTACGAATGAAGAGTTTTGTTTTGGTACAACGGACATTATGATAGCATCTGAGAAAATAGGAAGATATTTATAGAGAGAGATAGAAGCGCATTTATAGAGAGAGTTAGAAGCGTAGATTTTTGTTTGATTTTATTAGATACTAGTATTTGTCTCGTGCGATGCACGGCTATAATTTTGTTTTTAAAAAAATTATATTTTATAAAATTGAAATGCTTTTTCTTTGTTTTATCAAAGTCTAATATGGGCAAAACAACATAAATGGATATATTTAAAGAAAATGAAATAGATAAAAAAAAAAGAATTTTGATTACTTAAAGGTAAAAAAATGATTTCACAATAACCTGAATTTTAATATTTTGTGGATGCTCATATGATTTTCACTTTCTCCTTCCGTGCTTCTTGTCCTGTGTTTTTATCTTCTCTCTCTTGTTCTTCCTAATTTTGTTTTATCTGTTGTTCCTTGAATCTGTTTCTGATTGGCGTCCTCAGAATGTCACAAAAACTACACCCAATTAAAAGACATTAAACAATTAAATTTTTAGATATGTGTTTTCTTGGATTGCATATAGTTTTGATATGAAAAAATTAATTTGTCTATAGTGTAATAGTTTGTATGCCAGAGAGCAAACGTGAGATGCACTTAATCTAGTATGGTTAATAGCAATTCACTTAAAAGTTAACAAAAATGGAAGTAGCATGGGATGTAAAGATTATCAACTCATTAGCAAAACCGTGTGTGGAATTTGATTTCAAAAATCAGATTTTTAGTACCTTTTCATCCAGCAGAATATTTCTAGATATTAAAACTCTTTATCTTCTAATTTTGTTTTTTCTGAAGAATTCACTTGCGATACATGAGTATAATTCGGACATCTTCAATTTGTTTCCTGCAAATAGGATCACGTATATATTAAATAAATAGATGAAGAAAAGTGTTTAAACTGCTTCTATTTTTCAAGAATCGATGAAAATAGAAGAAAAAAAAGCGAGGCAAGAGAAGTGATTATGGGCAAGAGAATAGGTGAAAAACAAATGCTAGTAATTTCTAGTTTCTTAATCGTGGTAATTTTTGGATGAGAAAAATTAGGAATTTTAGAATTAGGGATTATTTACTTCGATTTCGTTTATTTTTCCATTCTTTTTTCAATTATGTGTTTAACCTTTTTGTTCTTTAACTGCTTTTATTTTTAAATAAATTGTCACATGTTATCATTTAACTGCTTTAGTATATTAAGGATTATTTTGTGATTTTATTAGTTATTAAATTAGACTATTCCAATCGGATCCTCCAAGATCTCTGTTAGTTACACTTGTAGAAATGCAAATAATTCTTTGATTTATTTCTGAACCGAATGAATGATTCTATTGATTTTTTTTTGAAGCAAATCTTGTGTTTGTTATGAACGAATTAAATAGGGACAATTGC